GTCCTGACCCAGTGATTGTCTGGAGTAGGGGTTCTGTTTGTGTGTTTCTACAGGGAGAACAGCAGCCAATTTGGATTCCAGAGAGACTAACCAAAGCGATTTCTACAGACCAAAAAGAAGATGATTTGACTCAAATCCATAACAGCTGATATCCAGAGCTCCAGCTTGGCTATTCTTACATCTGAGACATTGATTAACCAGGATGCTTTTTTCAATATCTATTTTATTATTGCATATTTCCACATCATAAAGTCCTATTTTATTTTTTGAGCTCATACAGACCTAGGTTAATGTTTTTCTGATCAGTTCTTATTTTTTGACTATGGACTTTTTAAACATTGCAATGGAGATTTCACCTGTGTAAGCTACAAGGCCTTTACTATTGTCTTATGTGTTGTATGTTTGTGTGCACACTTGTGTTTTGTGTTGTATGTGTGTGCGTATATCCATATATCATATATGAGGAGCGCTCATATATATGAAAAATGGATCTGAATTTTTTTGTTATTCACATGATTTTAATGGTTTAATTTAAATTGGGTAAACAGCTGTTGAGAATTGTTTTAATATGTGTATAAATAAGGAGGTTAACAGATCTGTTTGTTTACTTTCACCTTTCCTTTTCATTATATTTAATAATTCTGTTCAGGATAATGTAAATTGTTCAGAAACTTGTTTTCTTAGTACTTGTTGGAATGTTACATATTTTTTTTTAGCCATCATTGCCAGAATTCCTATCTTCATCCCAGTGCCGGTGAAGACAAAGATAAAAACCAAACTACAGCTTCTTCGATAGCTATCACAGTAAACTGTATAAACTGATGCATCAATGAATAATAACTCAACAAGTAATGCTCAATCAAGGAGTCGATTTACTTTGGGAGGAAATGGACATATTGATAGATTCCTCCGCTTTGAACTGCTTGCAGAACTTGCCTGGACTATGTATCACTTGTATACATTGTGAACTATCTGTTGGTACAACGAATTGTGGTAGTGCTGGCGTATCTTTGCTGGTGGTGTTACTGGTGATACAATTTTTCCAAAGGAGCTGTCAATTGGCTTGGTGTCGTGGCATTTCTGTATCCTCCTCCCTTCTGCTAGTGTTGGTCTAAAATTTGGGGGCCAACAGAGGTGAGGCAAAGAACCTCACCCCCCCACACACTGATGCAAAGGCCTATCCACAAGTATGGCTGTATGCTGGACACTGACAGGTATGATCCAATTGCAGTGGTATCAACCTAAGACAGGAGGCTGACGCCTAGAGGTCAGCTCATCCGATGATGGGTAAGAACCATATGTTGTATTGGACAACCTAACAGGCACGGTCCCCTAAGCCACATTGCTTGTTGTTTAATTAAACAGAAGGAGGGAGATGCTGAGAGCCATAGCCAAGTAGGAATGACACATAGCATTTTTGGTTGAAAGGTGATGCCAGCAAGCCATTGAGATGATAATGATTATGTTAAGATGTGCATTCAATTGGAGATTAGACCCCTGCTGTCCTTCTAGGCCTGCTACTTTGGAGCTCTTGCGGGACTCCCGGAGAGTTCCCATTGGTTGGGGAGGTGCGGTAGGAGGGAATTCCGGAGGAGGGATTTCCTGTTGGTGTAGTTTGTCCCGGGAGAAGGCTGCGTGCGTGGCATTGGTGGGAGTTTTGGAAATAAAGTTTGTTCCTGCTTGAGTGGCTCGTGATTTTGTGCCCAGACAGACTGTGGCACCCACCTTCCTGCCTATAGCAGTTCCTCTTCATCTACATGTAATTTGGCCATTGTGATCCTTGCTATTTTCCTCTCTGGCTTGACACTGTTCTTGCCATCAAGGGTTGGAGCTTGTTTCCTCAAAGCAATTTGAGGATAGAATTGTCACCCTGCTAGTGTTGGAGATGGGTATAGTGCAGGTACTCGTGTGTGTGTGTGTGTGTGTGTGTGTGTGTGTGTAAAAATGAAGACGATGATATATATTCTGCAAGATTGTTAGACAATGTATGTAAAGTGCTTGAAACAGTGTATATAATATATAGGGTTTTTGTTTGTTTTTTGTTTTCCTATATAAAAAAAAAGAGGTTTATTTAGCTCACAGTTTTGGAAGAACCTGAATGTTCAGCATTTTGCAGGCTTTCTTCCAAGGTCTTCTCCTTGGCAGTCATTCAGATTTGGTGATTGCCAGGATTGTGTGAAGATAATTTTTTTTTTTTTAAAGAGAGAGATAATTTTTAATATTTATTTTTTAGTTCTCGGCGGACACAACATCTTTGTTGGTATGTGGTGCTGAGGATCGAACCCGGGCCGCACGCATGCCAGGCGAGCGCGCTACCGCTTGAGCCACATCCCCAGCCCGAGTGAAGATAATTTTTTAACAATTCTGTCGTTTTTAATTTTTTTTGTGTGTGTTTTGGTTTTACTACTTTTTTTTGTGATGCCAGGAATCGAGCCCAGCACCTTAGACCAGTGCTCTACCTCTGACCTACATCCCCAATCCAAACAATAGCTTTTAAAAATTTTTTATTATTTTAAAATTATTTTTGTTGGTATTTTGCCCAGGCTGGTCTTGAATTCCTGGGTTTAAGTGATCTTCCCATCTCAGCCTCCCAAGTGTTGGTACTACAGGTGTATACCACCATGCCTGGGTTGTGTTTTGGAGCATTTGTTTTTCCAAACTTCCGTATGTCCCTCTGCTACCGACCTCATCTTTAAAGCCCAATACTTGCAACAGCAGGCTGGTGGCCTCCACACCAGAACACAGCTCCATGTGCCTGTATACTGTGTTTTTTTTGAGAGAGAATTTCATTATTTATTTCTTAGTTTTCGGCGGACACAACATCTTTATTTGTATGTGGTGCTGAGGATTGAACCCAGGCCGCACACATGCCAGGCTACTGCTTGAGCCACATCTCCAGCCCCTGTATACTGTGTTTTAAGCACTTGCATAAGACTGGAGTAGTAGCTCAGTGGTAGAATGCTTGCCTAGCATGTTTAAGTCCCTGGATTTAATCCCCAATGCCACAAGAATAAAAGTGCTTACATATATTATCTAAGCTAAAGAACCTTCCAATGGGGGCTGGAGATGTGACTCAAGTGGTAGCATGCGTGAGACACTGGGTTTGATTCTTAGCACCACGTAAAAACAAAATAAAGACATTGTGTTCACCTAAAACTAAAAAATAAATATTAAAAAAAAGAACCTCCCAATGTATGTATGATTGTCTCCATTTTATAGATTAGGACTGGGGAGATAATCTGTTTAAGTGGGAAAACATGGCCTCAAATCTGGTGCACCTGGCTTCAGAGGCTGATGCTGCACATCCTGTTAGGTTTCCTCTGAAATAGCCAGAATTTGCCCTTCCAAAGATAGGAAGGTACAGAACTCCCCCCTCTTGCTTCAGATTCTGGTTGCTGTTAATAGGTAAATACAGAATCAGTGAAAACAAAACATTGGGCACTTTTCTTGCTTTGACCACTTGAAGCATATTCCACCAGCCAGAATTTCTACTTTTTTTTCTGAACTGGAATTGGACCAAATCTCCCACTTAGGGAAAGGTGGAAAGTCGACTAAAGGGAGTGGAGAGCTTGTGAATAAGGGGGCTATAAATTGTTTTGAGTTGTAGACATATTAAGCCAAGTCAGCTTCCTCAAATGCTTATTTTAAAAGCCTTCATTCAGCTGGGGCTGGGGCTTGGGGCTCAGTGGCAGAGTGTTTGCCTAGCACATGTGAGAAACTGAGTTTGATCCTCAGCACCACATAAGAATAAATAAAGGTATTGTATCCATCTACAACTAAAAAAAAAAAAAAAAAAAAAAAAAAAGCCTTCAGCTGGTTGCTGTGGTCATGCCAATAATCCCAGCAACTCTGGAGGCTGAGGCAGGAGTATCTCAAGTTCAAAGTTAGCCTCAGCAATTTAGTGAGGCCCTGTCTCAAAAAGGGCTGGGGTTGCTGCTCAGTGCTTAAGCACCTCTGGGGTTCAATTCTCAGTACAAAAAAAAAAAGAAATTTAGTTTTAAAAAAGCCTTCATAAGCAATGCCTAGACAAAGCAAAGTAATATCTGGATAATTTAGACACTTACTTCTCAGTGATTTGGGATTGGGGCCCAGGTCATTCTGATCTCATGAGTCTTCTCCAAAGGAATCCAGAAATGAAGATCAATTAATATTAGCAGTAAAACCCTCTTTCCCTGGCAACAAGCTTGCTAAGGAACCTTTTTGCCTGGTGGGGAAGCCCAGAGGTGGTTGTGAAGTAGTAGCCTCCAGTCCCAGGAAGTGCAGAACCCCAGCTGCAGCGGGGTTCTGGCTTTTAATCTGTTGCTACCATTTGGGTCTCAAAGCAGTTGTGGGGCCCAAGCTAGGTACATGTAAAAGGTAGCTGATGGTAAGTGCAGTCTGTAAATGTAGCGCTTTTTGTACCCCTTTCCACATCATCCTTTTTCATGGTGTAGTCTTACACCTCCCATTGCCTCATCTTCATTTGTCACTTAGGTAGAATAGTCTTATCAAGTAGACAAAGGGACATCCGCTGGAGACTATAGATTATGGAATGGTTGGAACCCATTCTTTAAGACCTGGCCTGGAGTGGGAGTTAGGGGGTTGGGAGATTGTCAGAATCTTAGAGCCAGCAGGCTATAAAAGATCTTCACATAACTCTTAAGCCCTGGCTGAAACAATAAAGCTAGTGTCAGTGTTGGGGTTTTGTGTTGTTTTTCTCCCAAAGTCCCCTTTGCAGTGTATCTACATATACAGACAGCATATATGTCCAGTAGGAGAAAGGGCAGGAAGGCCAAAATACCACTGGCATTGGGCCGGGTTGGGTCTTCCAACCCCACACTATAGTCTAATAGGGAAGCCGCGCTGTGACAATTGACCTCCAATCCCAAACAGGTAAGTTATGGGAGAGGAGGCTGGTGTAAGCCAGGATTTGTGGAAATGTTCCTTTGGGGGAAGGGCCGGGAGGTCAGCGGTCGGGTGAGTAAAATCCTGCTTCCTGCCTGACAGGGGGCGGGATTCTTGGTCTCCGTGGAGACGGCTACTCCTAGCGACCTAACAGGCGTTGAGCAGAGTTGCTGGCCTGATGGACGCGGAGAGCCTCCTCCTGTCGCTGGAGCTGGCGTCGGGCAGTGGGCAGGGCCTCAGCCCCGACCGCCGGGCCTCGCTGCTCACTTCCCTCCTGCTAGTGAAGCGCGACTACCGATACGATCGGGTCCTGTTTTGGGGTCGCATCCTCGGCATCGTCGCGGATTACTACATCGCGCAGGGCCTGAGTGAGGACCAGCTCGCACCACGCAAGACACTCTACAGGTGGAGGCGGCACCGGAGCGGTTGAGACCTCTGGAGGGGATCCAGGAGGGCTCGGCCGAGGCAGGGAGAGGGCTGGCGGGTCTCGAAAGGGGCGGGGCTTATGGTCGGAGAGCAGTGGGCAGAGCCTGAGCCGGACGAATGAGAAAAGGCCTGGGGGCGGAGCCTGGGGACGAAAACGCACGGTTGAGGGGTGGGAACTGGGATGGCTTGGAACCTGGAGATCTAGGGTGTGAGGGGGCGGGGAAGTGGCTGGCGAGGTCAGAGAGGGCGGGGCCGGGGAGCACGCCCCAGCTGTTTGGGAGGCTGAGGCAGGAGGATCGCAAGTTCAAAGCCAGCCTCAGCAAATTAGCGAGGCCTTAAGCAACTCAGCGAGACCCTGTCTCAAAAGGCTGGGGATGTGACTCACTGGTTAATCGCCGCTGGGTTCAATGGGTTCAAGTCTCGGTACCCAAAAAAAAAAAAAAAAAAAAAAGAAAGAAAAAAAGAAATTTAGGTATGCATGGATTAGTAACAGAGGCCAGGAACAAAGAAGGTCCTGGAGAAGGCAGACCTGGAGTAGAAGACAGATCCGAGTCAGCTGCTGGACCTGGCAATTCCCAAGGATTGAGTTTAGAGAAAGGTCAGACGCCCTGGGCATAGGTTGGTGCTGTTTGGAAGCATCTTCGATGGAGGCGTCGCTCTGCAGTAATAGTCGCTTTGGAAGTAGAAAATAGGCGAAATGGGGAGAGGTATGTAGAACTAGGAAAAATTCCCTGCACTCTACCATACAGGACCATCAAGCCTTATTAACTCACCCCAATGATGATGGGGGAACTTATGAGTTTATAAAGCAGTCCATTCAAGCTGCAGGTTGTTTGGAGACTTCATTTACCTATCCATATACCAATCCAACATTGACTGGTTACAGCCTGTGCGTCCCTTGGGGTTAGGAAGATGACCAAGACATACCTCCGTCTAAGAGTCATTCACATCCAAGGGAGGGGCACAGACTTGTCATTCAGCAGTTAAAGCTTGATGTGAGCTGGGCAGGGTTATGCATGCCTGCAATACCAGAGGCTCCTGAGGCTGAGGCAGGAGGATCACGAGTTCAAAGTCAGCCTCAGCAAAAGCGAGGTGCTAAGCAACTCAGTGGGACTCTGTATCTAAATAAAATACAAAATAGGGCTGGGGATGTGGCTCAATGGCCGAGTGCCCCTGAGTTCGATCCCTGGTATCCAAAACAACAACAACAACAACAAATGATGTGTTAACTATAACAGAAAAGTATATATAAAGGGAGACCAAGAGCCCTGGTCTTCTAGAGAACAACTAAGACCAATCAGGGAGGGGCTGGGGATGTGGCTCAATGGCCGAGTGCCCCTGAGTTCGATCCCTGGTATCCAAAACAACAACAACAACAACAAATGATGTGTTAACTATAACAGAAAAGTATATATAAAGGGAGACCAAGAGCCCTGGTCTTCTAGAGAACAACTAAGACCAATCAGGGAGGGGCTGGGGATGTGGCTCAAGCGGTAGCGCCCTCGGTTGGATCCTCAGCACCACATACAAATAAAGATGTTGTGTCCGCCGAAAACTAAAAAATAAATATTAAAATTCTCCCTCCCTCTCCCCCCTCTCTCTCTTTAAAAAAAAAAAAAAAAAAAGATCAATCAGGGAGTAACTTGCATTGCTTCTGAAAGGTGAGCAGTTCTCCAGGCTAGTGTGGGGAAAGGAGTAACAGAGGAAAAGTTTTGCACTCTGGCTATAGAAGGCTCAGAGTGCAGCAWGGGGTGTTGTAGAAGTGGATGGAGAGAGGCCAAGGGAAGCCCTTGAGGGGCTAGAAGAAGAACCTGTTTATAACTGAGTGAACAAAATGGCCTGAAAGTAGGTTGAGCATTTAGGAGTCAGTGTAGCATCAAGATGAAGAGTCTTTGAAAGGGAAAAGTAACTGAAGGAGTAGTGGTGGCAGTGGTGGATGGAAAGATTTAGGTGGAAGAGTGGGCTTAATGGGAGTGGTGGTGAAGGAGAGTTCCAGGTCCATTCCTACTTCTGGCTGAGGCAGCTAAGTTCAGGCCCCACTGGCTAGGAGAGAATTCAGACAGCAGGACCTGGGAAGACTCAGTGAATCTGGGGTGAGTTTCCGAGAGCAAGGTATAAGAAGGCAGGTTAAAATGCAGATATGAAGTCTAGAAGGAAAATTTAGACTGAAGACAAGAGATTGGGATTCATTTTATTTTATTTGTATAAGTATGTGTTGAACACCTACCACATGCTAAAAATTGATTTAGGTGCAAAGAATTCACTGGTAAATGATACAAAGGCTTTGTCTTCATAGAGCTTATTCAATGCAGTGTGTGTTTTAGGGTCAAGGGAGTAGAGACAAAATAGATAAAATATATTACATGCCAGCTAAAGTGTCTCCACCCAAAAGGATGGGGTATTATTTTATTTTTTGCAGTGATGGGGACTGAACCCAGGGCTTTGTGCAGGCTAGGAAAGTGTTCTACCACTAAGCTATATCTATTTTTTTTTTTTTGAGACAGAGTCTTGAGAAGTTGCCCAGGCTGGTCTCAAACTTGTGATCCTCCTGCCTTGGCAGGAGCTGTGATTATAGGCATGCGCCACCACACCCAGCTTTTGGAGTACTATATTAAACAGGGTGGTCATGTCCTCTCTGATTGGGTGATATTGGAGAAGAGACCTGAAGTGACTGAGGGAGTGACCTGTGTGGATCTCTGAGGGAAGTGAATTCCAGACAAGTGTGAAGGCCCCAATGCAGGCGTGTGCTTAGTGTGTTTGTGGAGCTTCATAGCAACTAGCATGGCAAGAGAGGAATGAGGGAGGGAATATGTTGTAGAACATGAGATCAGAGAGGTGAGGAGTGGAAAGCTATCATATAGGGCCTTGTGGGGCATGAAAAGATATGGTTCAATGAAAAGTCATTAGAAGATTCTGCACAGAAGTGACATGATTTGGTTTAGGTTTTAACAGTTCGGTGGCTACTAGTTTGAGAGAGGAGTCAATGTAAATTGACACAGGGAAGACAGTTAAGGCATCTACTGCAATATCCAGGCAAGAGTGATTAGTGGCTTGGACCAGTGGAGGTGATTGAATTCTGTATATTTCCTGGGTATAGCTGGGCCTCAGGAAGACAAAGAAAAAAATAGGTGAGAATTGATCTCTGGAATTACTTGAGAAACTGGAGGAAGAAGAGAAGGTCTTGAGCCTAGGTTAGTCCTCCCTGAGATGGGAGGAGGGATGACCATGCTGTTGGCTCAGGGGTCAAGCTGAGCAAAAATTAGGGCTCACCAAAGCAGGGGTGCCATGATTGAGTAAAGTTCAGCTTCCAGAAACTCATTTGGAAGTTCAGTCCAGATGTACAGGAAGAGTCTCATAATTTCAGTATACAAATCCCACCCCTGTTGCAGTTGTTTGACTTAAAAAAATTTCGACTTTACAATGGTGCAAAAGCAGTATTCATTCAGTGGAAATTGTACTTTGAGTGTTAATCTTTTTCTTGAATAGCAGTATGCAGTCTGACCCTCTCTTGGGATGCTGATCAGAGCAGTAAGCTGTAGCTCCCAGCAGATGTTGTTGCTGAGCCATGTTTGCTAGGTCAAATACATTTTTTTTTACTTGGCAATATTTTCAATTTACTCTGAGTTTATCAGGATATGACCTTATTGGAAGTTGCAGGGCATCATAAAATTCTTGTGACCTTAAAAAAAAAATAAAATAAAATGTCTGGGCATGGTAGTACATGCCTGTAATCCTAGCAGTTTGGGAGGCTGAGGCTGAGGATTGAAAGTTCAAAGCTGGCTTCAGAAATTTAGCGAGCTTCTATCTCTAAATAAAACATATAAAAGGGCTGAGGACGTGGCTCTGTGGTTAAATCCCTAGTACCCCCCCAAATTAATTAATTAATTAAAATAAAATGGAGCTATACTTGGTGGCACATGTCTGTAATCCTAGCAATTTGGGAGGCTGAGGCAGGAGGATATCAAGTTCAAGGCCAACCTTAGCAACTTAGTGAGACCCTGTCTCAAAATAAACAATAAAAATGTCTGTGGGCCAGGTGCTGTGGTGCGTGTCTGTAATCCCAGTGGCTGGGGAGGCTGAGGCAGGAGGATTGTGAGTTCAAAGTGAGCCTCAGCAATGGTGAGGCACTAAGCAACTCAGTGAGACCCTGTCTCTAAATAAAATACAAAATAGGGCTGGGAGTTTCCAAAAAAAAATTGTCTGAGGATGCAACAGTGTCCCTGGGTTCAATCCACCCTACCATAAATAAATATGTAAATAAACAAAATTTGTTTCACGCATGAGGGTAGACTGCATGTGCAACAGGCATTGAGGTTTTCTAAGAGTCTGAAGGGAAGAAAGGTGGAAGTTCTAACAGCTCTTTGGGGGCCTGACCAACTAGGGCTAAAGGAGGTGCAGGAAGACTGGGTAAGGGGCCATTGGAATCCAGGGGTGATGATGGATATCATTGGCAGCCTGAACTGCACCGATTGGAGCCTCTTGCCCCCCGCCACAGAGGAGACGATGGCACAGACAGCCATGGTGAAGGGCCGCTTCATGGGGGACCCATCACATGAGTATGAACACACTGAAATCCAGAAAGTGAATGAGGGTGAGAAGATCTTTGAAGAAGAAGTAGTGGTAAGTGCAGGTGGGAGGGTGGCCTGAGCCATCCAGACACCAGCCCAGGAGCATGTGCTTAGCATGCCTGAGGCCCTGGGTTCCATCCCCAACACCCAAATGAAACACACACACACACACACACACACACACACACACACACACACACACCAGCTCAATAGAAAGGGCAATGACGGCTATTACCATGACCTTCACTGCTGCCCAGTTGGTACTAAGTGCATGGGTGTGCCCGATACTTTGCTGCTGTGCTTCAAACATCTTTAATCCCTGTGATTCTGTGCAGATGAGACATTACTTTCCAGATGGTAGAGAGGAAGACACTGAAGCTTAGAGAGGTTAAGAGACTTGCCCAGGGGCACACAGAGTGAGGGGAGAGGACAGGCAGCTCTTGTGGAGCCTGGTTCTGGTGGGGCTGGGAAGCAGGGTCTTTGCTGTGTTCTGATGTCAAGGAAGGTGCCCAGGCTTGTGTGTGTGTGTGTGTATTTTTGTCACATACACAGACTGCATTCTCAACCCTCTTACATTTTTATGTCAGTTTTTATTATACTACAAAATACATCACGTAGTCCAAGGTTCAAAAGTATATGGAGATGCTGGGTGTGGTAGTGTAGACCTGTAATCCCAGTGTCTCTCTGAGGCAGGAAGATCACAAGTTCAAAGCCAGCCTCAGCAACTTAGTAAGGCTCTTAGCGACTTAACAAGACCCTGTCTCAAAATAAAATTTTAAAATAGGGCTGGGAATATGGCTCAGTGGTTAAGTGCTCCTGGGTTCAATCCTTGGGCTCAATCCCTGCCCCTCCCAAAAAGTATATAAAGATATATAGTAAAGTTTCCTGTCTTTCCTGTCTACAAGTTAAGCAGATCTCCCCCCTGGGGGACATTAATGAAGTTGTTTTGCATGTGTGTGTGTGTGGGGGGGTGTGGGTGTGTGTCCATCCACATCTTTCTATGAGAGTGCAGTCCCGATCAGAAGCCTCATCATGTCCTAGGAGTTAGGAGTGTCCTAGCATCAGAAACCTGAATTTTTTGCAGGGTCCCCAGGGGATCTGAATTTACACTGAAGTGTGAGGTGCTGTTTCCAGAGACAGTTCATGCAAATATAAACCTCAGCAAGTACCCTACCTCAGCAAATTCTCTTTTGCCTTTAATACATGACACAAAACAAATGACTGCTAGTTATCTGCACAGTCCTGAACCTTGCCGTTTTCACTTAACAATGTCTTCTGAAAACCTTTCTGTGCAGTGCTTGAAAGGGCCACCTCATTTTTTGTGCCAGTGTGGGATGTGCCAGCATTTAGCCAGCGTCCGGTTCATGGAAATGTCAGCTTCCAGGTGTGAGCTTTGGCAAGCAATGCCACAAGGAGTGACTTTGTACTTAACGTCATTTCCAGTGTGCGTGCTTCATCTGAAGGATCGATTCCTAGAAATAGAATTGCTGGGTCAATATGAAAAGAGCCAAAATTTTGAAGCTAGACAAAGCCAGAATTCAAAACCCAGTTCCCACACTTGAACCCAGAGGGTGGCAAAACTCTGTGGTTGGGCTGCCAAGCCCCAGGGCCAGCTGCACCTCACACCTGATAGACAGTTTCCTGGGCCTCTGTTTCATTTTCTGTCAAACTGGGATAGTAGTATTTGCTTTGCCATTTGTGCAGATTGACTGAGGTGACATATTCAAAGTCCCTGGCAATGTACTTACTGAATGTTAGTTTTCTCCTTTGCCAACCATGCAAAATGATGGCCCATGGGAAATAGGTGGCTCCTTGATTCTGTGGGACCTCTGTTGACACATTTTCCCTGCCAAGTGGTGCTTTTGCCCAGATATCTCTATGCAGTCCTTTTGTGGTGCCCTTCATGTTGATTGTAACCAAATTGCATCTGTGCAAGAAGATTATAAAATGGGGGAAATGCTTAAGAAATAATGGGCAGGATATAAAACTATGTGAAGTGTGACTCTCATTTTATGTTCAATATATGCATAGAAAAAAGCGGAGAAGGAAGTATACCAATATGTTAGTGATTATCTTTGGGAGGTGGGATTCGAGTGTTTTTAATCCTCTTAGGTATGTCTTTTTATCTTATCCAAATATTCTACAGGGAGATGATTGCTTTCATATTCTAAGAAGGCAAAATAAGCATGACTTAAACATGATGATTGAATGGTATGTGCATCCGGGGATGGCTCTGTGACCTTAAGGGTCTTTTTGGAAAGAGAGGGAACATAACAAACCATTCATGGTGACTGTCCCCTGCCATGGGAGAGAGAGAAGGCAACTTGGGGGGTCACAGAGAAGAACTGAATTTTTTGTAGTTTTGAATACTGTGTCACCTATAATGATCACCAATTCAAAAAGGAAAAAAAGAAAGGAGGAAAAGAAAGAAAAAGGAAGAAGGAGATCTGTGCTGTACTCTGAAGTGAAAGAATGTATACACATAGTGTGTGTGTGTGTGTGTGTGTGTGTGTGTGTGTGTGTGTGTGTGTTGGTACTGGAGATGGGACTCAGGGCCTCACACTTGCTAGGCAAGTGCCCTACCAGTGAGCAACTGAGCAACTGGTATTTTTGTATCAGTTTTTATTTTGCTAGATAATAACATCACATGGTCCCAGATTCAGATGTAAAAAATGGAATATAGTAAGTTTTCCTCTCATCCCTGTTTGCCAGATATGTAGGTCCTCTTCCTGGGGGACATAAATTTAACTGTCGTGCATGTGCAGGGAGGGAAGGTGAGGGCTTTCCCACCATGATCTTCTGTGGCCTTAGCTAGCACCTGTTCTGGGTGACTCAGGTAAAAGGGCCATACAGAGGGTCCTTGCACTAGGTGTGAGTGGACACAGCACTCTGGCTGGATGGCTCCTTTCTGCTCTTCTCAGGTCCAGGTCAAGGAAGAGACCCGCTTGGTGTCCATCATTGACCAGATTGACCAGGCTGTGGCCATCATCCCCCGAGGTGCCCTCTTCAAGACCCCTTTTGGACCCTCTAATGTTAACCGAACTTTTGAAGGTGAGTTCTTTGGAGCCCCTCTCAGGACACGAGGGCCTCTTTTCCCAAAAGTCAGATATATGTCTGGGACACCAGAGTGGACCTGCCCTCCTTGGAGAAGTAAGCTGGGCCCCATCATCTAGGAGCATGTGCCCCATGAGCTGGTGTTGGTGGTTGGGATGGGCTACCCTGTCTCTGGACCTGAGTCTCTTGTGCCCGGGGGGTGGGAGTAACCATGGTTGCTGAACATGGTCTGAGCTACCTGCTTTTCCCCACCTGCCTCGTCCTTGGACTTTTCCTCATTGCAGGATCTGAACCAAACTTTTCCCTTTTCTCCCTTCACTTCTCTCTCAGTGGTTGACTTAGTCTTTAACAAAGCCCTCCATATGGTCCCAATGCAAAAAGGGGCTCTAGAGCTTTGGGTGACCAATCCTCCCTGGCTGCCTCCTCTTCCTAGGACTGTCCTTGTCTGAAGCCAAGAAGCTCAGCTCTTACTTCCACTTCAGGGAGGCTATCGACTTGAAGAATAAGACCTTGCTTGAGAAGGCTGACCTGGACCCCTCCCTGGACTTCATGGACTCTTTGGAGCATGACATCCCCAAAGGTAGTAGTCTATTATCTTGAGGATCTGTCCTCAGGCTAAAGCAGTGGGTTGTGCCATATGCCCCTCTTCTCTGAGACTGGAAGCTAGGACCTGGGTAGGAATTGGTGGCTTACTATGGGCCCTTGAGACTGGGGCTTTCCCAGGGTCTAGTTGTAGTAAACACTTGGTTAGTATTTTCCAGTGTCCAAAACTGGGATTTTTTTCCTGAGATACTTCCACAAATGTGAAGTAGCTCAGAGTCTCTTGATTTTCAGAGAAACCTTTTTTAAAAAAAAAATGAAAAATAACCACCCTATTTTAATTTTCTTTAAATTAATAGGTTAAATTGTATGAATTTATCATGTACAATGTGATATTTAAAAAAAAAATATATATATATATATATATATATACAGGGCTGGGGATATAGCTCAGTGGCAGAGCACATGCTTAGCATGTGCAAGGCCCTGGGTTTGATCCCCAGCAACACACCCACAGTCTAAAGAAAATTCTATATACACTGTGGAATAATCCAATCCAGTTAATTAAAAATGCATTACCTCGCCTAGTTCTCATTTTTGCAATGAGAACATTTATCCACTCTTCATTTTTCAAGAATACATTATAGTCATCATGAACTATTAATCATGTAGTCCTTGTAAAGATTACCAATTCAAAAAAGAAAGAAAGAAGCCACTACTACTTGGGACACTGAGGCAGGATGATGCATGCATGCATAAATAAATAAATAAAATACATAAAAATAAAGGAAGAGGACAAGGGACGCTTGTGCTGCTCAATAGATCTCTTATACTTATTTCTCCCAAGTATAATTCTATATCCTTTGATAACATCACTGTGGGCCCCTTTCCCCCAACCACCCCAATGACTAGTAACCACTGTTGGTCTAATCTGTTCTGTGAGGTCAACCTTTTAGGTTTCGTGTATGAGTGAGATTATATGATACTGTGTTTCTGTGCCTGGCTTTTTCACTTAACAAAATGATCGGTAGTCCCATCCGTGTTGTTGATAAAATTTCATTCTTTTTTTTTAATGGCTGAATAGTATTCCCAGGTGTATATATTTCCAATTTCTTTATCCATTTATCTGTTAATGGACACTTAGATGGTTTCTATTTCTTAGCTGTTGTGAATGTTGCTGCAATGAATGTGGGAGTTTAATGTCTCTTTGACAGACTATTTTATTTCCTTTGGAAATATACTCAGGAGTGGGATTGTTGGATTCATAGCAATCTTGAATGGAGGTAAGTTAGGAATCTTCCTGAAAACATCTCTGAAAACATCCTGAAAATACTAGTAACACATCAATTTTCAGTCTGGGAGTTCTGGACAATGCTTGGGACATAACTGTGGCTCAATGAGTGGGTGTTGGTTGATAAGTGAACCACCCATTAAAGACATGAGTTGTATACGTGTGTGTGTGTGTGTGTGTGTGTGTGTGTGTGTGTGTTTTACTGGGAATTGAACCACTGAAATATGTCCCCAGCCCTTTTAAGACAGGGTATAGTTAAGTTGCCTGGGGCTGGCCTCAAACTTGTGATCCTCCTGCCTTAGCTTCCCATTTAGCAAGGATTACAGCCATGCACCACCATGCCTAGCTTGTACACTGACTTTCTGCTATGTATTTGGTTCACTTAAAAAAATTTTTTTTTTGTACCAGGGATTTAATCCAGAGGTGCTTTACCACTGAGCCACATCCCCAGCACCCCGCCTTCTTTTAATCTCACTTGTCTCCTATCTTAGCTGGCGACCTAATACTGGGTTCACAAAATCTGACAATTACAATAACTCAAGAAAATGACAAAGAAAGCACGCAACCACACAGAAATACCTTTTCAATAATCTGGAGATGGCTCTGTGACCTTATTCGGTCCTTGGAAAGAGAGAGAGCCACCGGAATTCTTTATTCTTATATAGGGAACACACAGGAGAGGTTCCATGAAACATTCTATCCCCAAAAGGGCAAAGGGGTAGGATTACAAAGGAACAGGTGAGTGTAGCTCAACCCCTGCTGGTGACACCTATACCTGGAGCCACGCCTCATTATCCGAGCAGGGTAAAGCCTAAGTTACTGCTACCTGGCACTGCCTTGCCAGACTGAAGGCAATAATTGGTCAGAACCTGGTGCTTCAGGACTTAAGCGCATTTGCATCCAGGGCAGCTCCCGACAAATTGCTCACTAAATTGCTTAGGGCCTCACTAAATTTCCAAGGCTGGATCTGAACTTGGGATCCTCCTGCCTCAGCCTCCTGAGCCCTGGGATTACAGATGTGTGCCACCATGCCCAGCTCCCTGTATGTGGTACTTTTGAATCATAAAATATAGAGCTTCAGAGGCCAGTGGTTTCTGGCAGGGCCACAGACACCTAATTTCCTTCCTTCAAGCATTACCAGCAGAGAAAAATGCGTTTATTGATGCTGTCACCTGAGACAGGTGTGAGGTTGTAGGCCTTTGGGGATCAGATGCATAGTGACTTAGTACTGTGCTTTTTTTCTTTCTGTGGTTGGCATTTCTGAGAACTAGAGGGATCTGATGATGATGATGGTGGTGATCATGACAGTCACAATAACTAATTCATAAAAGCAATGACACTGCTTGTTGGGACCAGGTGCGGTGCTCAGCCATTCCCATGCCTTATCTAATCTTAATCTTTGCAGCCGGCCTATGAGCTGTTATTATCCCCATTTTACAGAGGAAGAAATAGTAGTTCTGAGAGTTAACCCCAAGGACACACTATTTGAGCAGTAGACTCCAAGGCTCTGGCATTAACTGTGGTGTCAAATAGTGACAGGTGACAGTGGGTATGAAGGGACAATAGTTACTTCCAGCACTAGGAAAAACACTTCTGAGGAGCAACAAGCAGCCAACAAGGCTGAACCTAAGGGAGGGGTGGGGTGGCAAGAGCTCTGGGGGCAGAACTGGGGCTGCAATCCTGAATTGCCACTGACTAGCTGTGTGCCTTAGGACAAGTTCCTCCAGTTCCTTGTGCCTTGGTTTCCTCATTTCTAAATGCAGAAAAAGATATTTTCTATCTCATTGGGCTGTTATGAGGATTAAATGAGGTAACTCCTATACAAAATTCTTATAATAGGACCTAGCACACAGGAAACACTCAAATAAAAATGAGTATTAATGATAATGATTTTCAGTGGCAAAAAATCAGTAGAGATGAATTGGGGCAGGCCTAGCAAGACCCAGAAGGCCAGGGCAGAAGCTGCTGATGGTTTGGAAGCAGGTCTGCGATGATAATGCAGCACAGGTGGAGAGAGAAGGGACAAGGCAAGCCAGGCCTCAGGAGGCTGTCTCAGGGCCACTGTAGCACCCAGGGGCCAGGGAGTGGTCCTGAGTGGGTAGCTGCCACCAAGGAGTGGCCATGGGGGTGCCCAAAATTAAGCTGCTGCCACATGGGGGTGCCCAAATTAAGCACCCTTGAGGCCTTCCAGTCCCACAGTGAAGGGTAGGAGGGGCTCCCAGTCCAGTGGGGGAGATGAGGAAGGGCTATAGGAGTTGGAGGATCAGACACAATTCTTAGACTTATCTCCTCCAACTCTGCCCCCAGCTTTGCTCAAAGCTGGAGAGTGCTGCACACCCCCTCTTGACAAAGGGACCAGAGATTCTGGTGGTGGGATTCAGCACCAGGGGCAGAGGATGGACCCATAGAAATCTTTCTAATTTCCTTAGTCTGGGGTGGCAACCGCACCCCTGGCTCAGGGAAGCCATCTGTAGCCTCTTTCCTTGCAGCTAGATGTGTGGGGTGGGAGGATGGGGCTTTCCCTTTGTCCAGTGGGAGGGGCAAGGAGGTCACCAGGGCTTCTACAGCTAAGATCAAAGCCATTCAGACTGGGCGGTGGGGGCAGCAAAGTCTTCCAAGGAAACACCATCAGCTCAGTCTGCACTGTCTTTCCTTGCAGCAGCGGAAGTAAGATGTAGAGTTTTGGGAGTTGTGCTAAAGGCTGCTGGGGCCACCCTGGTGTGTCCAATTGGTGAGTGAGTCTATCAGGCCTCTGGGAGGCATAGGGCCTAGGCATATTTCAGAGACTCTCAGTATTCTGCCCTGATTGTGGGTCCCAGTGCTACAGGATTCCCTGAGGATTCTACTTCCCAGGCCATCTAGTATGTTCCTTTATCCTCAGTGTTGGCCTCGGGAGCTGAGAGGTCCTGGCTTCTGTGCAGGTGTGTGTGTGTGGGGGGTACTCTTGGCTCTACCTTTGGAAACCTCCCACAGCCCTTGGCCTCTAGGTTACTAACCCTTCCTCCCAGAGTTACTACTAGAAAACCTACAGGAAGTCAGACCCAGCTTTTTCTCATGAGGGTTTAGTGGGGGGCATGTGTGTATGTGTATGGTCAGGAGAGAGCAGATAGCTCCATTGGGGAGGACTCCATTCCTTAGCAGTCAGCGAAAGAGAACGAGCTGCTGGGGGACTCCTCTGCCAGACAGACAGCATCTGAGAGGGCTGGGCTGCTAGGTGGGGCCAAAACCCTAAGAAAGTATTCCCTGGACACCAGACTTGCCTAGAGGGTGGGATTTGGCAGCTATTCTATGCCCAGGCAAGATAATTTTTTTTTAAAACTATTGTAGATGGGCAGCTTACCTTTATTTTTATGTGGCGTTGAGGATTGAACCCAGTGCCTCACACACGCTGGGCAAGTGCTGTACCACTGAGCTACAGCCCCAGCCCAGATCATTGTGTGTGTTTTTTGGATCTGAGGCAATGTTCAGGGGAACGTGTCACCTCTGAGCAGGTGTGGTTTAGGTTGGTTAGGTCCCTGGATTCCAACTCTCTGAGCAAATGGACATAGGCCAGGAGTTCAACAGCTTGTCCCTGGGCCAGCCTTGGCTAAAAAGAGGAGAGAGGGGGATGTTACCTGGGGCCAATGTGCTATTATGAACTGTCATGCCATTCCCTGGGATCTGGGTGGCTTTAGGGGCTACTGCCTACTTCTGGGGTGGCAGCGCCCATCCTCCTGGTAGATTCAGGGCAGTGCCTGAGTCCTCTGACTCTGGGCTGTAGCTGAGTAACAGGTGGAACAGTAGGTGACATAGGTGGAGTACTGGGTCTAGACAGTGTTCTGCTACTCAATGCTCCTGAACCTTTCCAACAGCCACAGAGCAGCTGCTTCATGCCAGGCCCTTTTGGTTTCCTCAGGATGAGATAGCTCCCTTACATAACAGAGATTTGGGGAGATCAAATGAAAGTCTGGGAAGGGAAAACCTAGGCTAGAAGGTGTCTTACAAATGGGATCACTGGGGCTGGGGATGTGGCTCAAGCGGTAGCGTGCTCGCCTGGCATGCGTGCGGCCCGGGTTCGATCCTCAGCACCACATACCAACAAAGATGTTGTGTCCGCCAAGAACTAAAAAAAATATAAATATCAAAAAATTCTCTCTCTCTCCTCTCTCACTCTCTCTTTAAAAAAAAAAAATAATAATAAGGCTAGGGATGTGGCTCAGTGGTCCAGTGCCCTGAGTTAAATCCCCCCCACAAAGAAACAAACTGTCGGGCTGGGGATGTGGCTCAAGCGGTAGTGCGCTAGCCTGGCATGCGTGCGGCCCGGGTTCGATCCTCAGCACCACATACCAACAAAGATGTTGTGTCCGCGGAGAACTAAAAAAAAATAAATATTAAAAAAAAAAAATTAAAAAAAAAAAAAAAAAAAAAAAAACAACAAATGGGATCACTGGTGTCTTGGGGACAGAGAGGAGAGTGAGTGGAGCAGAGCAGGAGGGCTGGAGGGTGGAGCTCCTGTCCTTGCTCCACTCTGGACTGGAGCAGATGGCAGGAAGGGCCAGGTGCAGGCCGGAGCTCCATCACCAGCCAGCTCTCAGCAGCATATGCTCAGCTTGAGCAGCAGAGGGCAGCAAGGGTCCTGCTGCCTGGAGAGCGGCTTTGAAAGCTACCTTGTTGGTTGGGGAGTGTACAAGTGAGACAGTGGTATTGGAGAGGGATGGGGAACATGGTGCCAGGATCAGTCTTCTGGGGGTGTGTGTAGTGGCTCTTCATATCCAAGTCCCTTGGAAGTCCTACTGGACCATACTTGACCTTCTGGATTAGGGTCCCCGGCTCTGCTGCCCATCAATTAGACGGGAGGTTGATATCAGGGGAGTTATTCTCTTCCTCTTCTGTCCCCAGGCCTCTAGGGGGTTTGTCTATCTTGTGGCACTAGTGGGGGCAGTCATGGCTCCCTCCACTGGGAACCCATGGTCATTTTTTTTGGTGTGTGACAAGATCAGGAGGGAGGGGCTAGTCTGGGGAGAGGGTCTCAAGCTATCTGCTGCCCCTGGACAACCCTGATCCACAGCCTGGCCCATTTTCTCCCTCAATCTTAATTTCAGAGCGCTACTGCCTTTCTTCCTAATTGGTAGGAGAATGTAATTATAAGTACACCCTGGCCTGAGTCTCCACTCCAGCAAAGTGAGAGCGAGCCTGGGACACCCAGGAGGATCACCTGCCCCTTATAGGAGGCCCTTCCTTGATCTATCAGTTCATGTTACCCATATCCTCAAAGCGTGGAGAAGCGTGGCTGCCCACAGGCAGGAGGGAAGAGACCAGACTATAAACCAAAATACCAGGCTGCTTCCCTGAGTCCTAAAGGGGGTGACAGCAACTGGCTGGGCCTAGCCTTTTCAGTCTGTGAAATAAGAAAGTGGGTTAAGGTGATAGCAAGTGCCTGGCTCCTCAGGTAGATGCTACGTGACTTCTGGCACGTTGAGAGTCTGTGCGTTTCCTGGGTGACCAGCTGAGCCAGCGATGACGACAAGACAGGAGTGTGACAGGAATGTGAGGGAGGAAGGAGGCAGTGCTGTAAGCTGGCCAGCCCCTCACATGCCACTAACTCTGCCAGCACCCTTCGGCCTGCTTGGCACTGCCCTACTGCCCTGATGGGGGTGCTGTTTCTCTAGCTTCTCCTTGCTCTCTGTGTGGGAGACTCTGCTGATGGGCCTGAGCCACTGTGACTCCCTTCCCTTATCTAGTGCAGGCAAGGTTACCGAGGCCTAGGGCAGGCAGGCTGGTATGAGGGCAAGTGCAGACAGTCCTTACCTGAATGATGAGGGCCTAGGTTGGGGGTGGGCTCTAGGATTTCATTTTCTTAGGGCAGCAGGTGGTCCAGGGAGGCTGCAAGCCATTCTCCCTATACGGGCAAAGAGGAATAAGTGGTCTTGTCTTTTTTAAAGGGGCCATGGGTTCCAATGTCAGGAAGGACCGTGCCTTGATAAGAAGCTGGCCGCAGATGATGCTCTGCCTGGCAGGAGTGACAAAGTCCAGGGAATAGCACCTTCTCGGGCTGTGATTTTTGCCAAAGGCCAAACACAACGCCCTGGGAACATACTGTTCTGACATCCCCACCTGCATCTCCCCAGGCAGCGTTTCCTGGAGATGCGTGACCAGGAAAGCAACAGGCCAGGGCCTCTAGATCCGAGGAGGGGTGGCCTGGATGAGCAGAGCCTCAGATGCCCAAAGAGAGGTTACAGACCCGGGAGAAATGCCCTCTTCTCAGGGCAGTGCTCTAGCCAGAGCCCTGACAACACAGGGACATTCACTTCCTTCTTGATGAGATCTGACAGGCACCGAGGGTGGGAGAGCCAGCCAGTGCACACTGGGGCATCCACGTTATCATGCCATGCATGGGTGGTAGCACTTGCAGCCACTACATAGTGCTTGAGTGAGCCCAGAGGGCCAGGAGCAGATCTCTATGTTCTCAGAGGCCTATTATTTGACCTGGGCAGGCAGTTACCCCTAGTGCAGAGCTAAACTGCCATCGGCGTCCAGTGTTCCCGGCAATCAGGTCTCTTGGAGGCAGGGTGGCCCCCAGTGGGTGGAGACTGAGTTGTGAGGCTGTTGGGTGTGGAGTGATCAGGGTGGGCCATGGTTGGAGGTGGGCTGTGGGAAGCTAGGGCTGTGGGAAGCTAGGGCGGTGGGAGCCAAGCAGGCGGGCTGAGCTGGCAGCCGATGAAGGCTTCAGAGGAGCTCAGTGCGCGGCTGGCTGGTCCAACACCAGAACCTTCAAAGCATTTGCCTTTCTGGCAGGCCCCGGAACAGGGCTGCGGCTGGTTCGGGAGAGGCCTCAGTGCGCAGGGGAATAGAAGCCCCAGATCTGCATCCAGAGGCGATTTTCCCAGGCTCCTTCCTCCCACACAGCGGCTCCCTCCCTCAGATCTGGAGCTGGATCAGGCACTTCTAGCCAAGTCCTCATGGCTGCACAACTCAGCCCTGGGCTGGGCTGCTCCTGTCTGGAGAAGCAAAAACCAGGATAAACAGGGGCTCCTTGGCAGCAGCCACCTCTCCCTTCCACTAAGGACTGCTCCCAGTCTACCAGCTGTCAGAAAGGGAGCTGAGCTGAGCTGTCAGAAGTGGTCAAACTTTTACTTGAGCCCCTGCTCTGGTTTAGTCCCTCTCAAGAGCAGAGGCTTCTGGGACTGAGAAAGAGACGAAATCTAAGCAGGGGCAAAACCACACCAGAGCCAAAGTCCCTGGTGATTACCCCTAACATAGAGGGAAAGAAGGCTGGAGGGTATCTCCCTGCCACTCCCATCTCCTCAATGCCCGTGGATCAACCTGTAGCTAGACTTGCCAATAGGAACAGAACCCACTGGTTGGAGTTTCACTCTGCACTTCCTTAGCCCTCCCTCTAGAAGTGGTTTTTATGAGCCGCGAAATGGCTGAAACGGAGGAGCACACTTGTCGTCCCCTCCACAGAGCCAGGCCTCACCTCTGCCATCTGCCAGCAGGGTCATGGAGCATCCAGATGGAGAGAGGCAACGCTTTGGTTGTTCTGCGCAGTCTGCTCTGGCCAGGCCTCACCTTCTACCATGCTCCCCGCACCAAGAACTACGGCTACATCTATGTGGGCACGGGTGAGAAGAACCTAGACTTGCCCTTCATGCTGTAGGATGAAAGAAACCTGGGTATTCAGCTCAGTCTAAAGAATGAGCTTGGCTTATTTGTTTTGTCTTGCCTTTCCTTATTTCTGCCTCCTTTTGGTGTCCAATCTCTAAGGAGAGGCCCACTGAGCCAAGAAACCTACCTAAAGCAAATGGCAATGAACTCGAATGTGTTAAAGGAGACATTAGATAATGATGGGTGGCATGGCCGTGGGAGGTGACAACCAGCAATCCTCTGAGGAAGGCAGCTCCTTAGACTCAGGTGAGAGCTACATGTAGGCCATGCAGCTTAACTCACGTCCTCCAGAATAAGGCGCTCAGAGCTGTCAATAAAAAGTATGGAACCTGCTTAGTGCATGAACTCCATCCAGCGGCACTCCAGTGGTCCATTGTAAGGGCTTAGTGGCTTGATGCTCAGCAACCAGATGGTAACATGCTCAGGCTCCCAGACTTCCCAAGCAGCAAGCACACACTCAGAAGGTAAGTCCGTGGTCGGGTTTATGACATTCCTTCTGGCAAAACTCCTGTGCCCCAGCACTGACCATCACCCAAGCCAGTCATAAAATCACAGCAACTGCCAAAGGACCCAGCTTGCCTGCCCCTAGCTCCCAGCACTGTTGCTGGCAGCAAGAGCACTAAAGTACTATCCCTTGTGCATTTGTGCTGGCTGGCCAGGCCATCCTATGGTGGAGGGCAGAAGGACAGCTGAGGGGCTCCCAAGCTGGCCTGCTGCTGCTCCCCAGCAGATGTGCAGGAGGTGCTCTGCCCAGGTCTCAGTCAATGATAGAATTTCAAAGGCGTTCTTGAGTAGCAGATGTTGTCCTTTAGGAGTGGTGACCCCACAGCCATGCCCACCTTGTTCCAGCGGGCACCTTTTTTGTAGATGGGCTTGACGGAGTGGGGAGACCAGCGGGTCAGGTAACTGTGGAGGAAGCACAAGGAGGTGGCTATCAGTGCAGGGCGCACGCTGGGACGGAGACAGCAGGGTACGGTCTCCTTGTGCCAGGCTGCCATGCGCCAGGCAATTCCTTCCTCCAGTTTTCCTTTTTCTAGGGGAAGGGATTTTCCTGCTGAGTGTCCCATAAACAGATGGGCTGGGTGCTTGTTGCTCCAACTGTGTGTGGCCAGGGTTAGGCAGCCTGGGCAGCTCTCTGATCTTTATGAGTTGTCAGTGTTTGTCCGTGCTGTGGGAGAAGGCAGAGGAAGAGGCTGCTTGGAGAGTAGATTGCTGCTCTCTGGCCCCAGCCAGGGAAGGACAGTGATGCAAGGGTCTGGAGGAACCCTGCACTCTTCCCCACTTGGCTCTCTCTGCCACCCCAGCCTTCAGGGAATTCCCCAGGTCACCACAACTAATCAAGACCCCTGCCCTTCACTTATCCCATGACGGGAACCAAGGGATAAAGGCCTTTGGGTGCAACCTTGGCCCAGGAAGGTTCCTGTAAGTAGGAGGGGTTGGGGAAAATGATGGCCACCCATAGTCCTCTGGCCTCCTTTGGGGATGGCCAGGGTCCTGACAGTTCCTGGAAAAGTGGCTCATATGAATTTGGATCCTGTCCAAAAAGGCCCATCCTTTATCCTGAAAGTTCAGCTATGACAACAGCCAGGAATCCTCCTCTGCCTCCACTCTAGGTGTGTGTTTACCCCAGCATCTCTAGAGACCTCAAATGAAAAATTTTTTAATTTTAAAAATGAATAATTTTGGCTAAAAATTTTTAGATGAAAAAGAAAAAAAGATTGCTGATTTATGCATTTCAGCTGAGTTCCTCTGGCTCTTGGTCTTTTGCTATTAGCTCTGTGCAGAGAGGAAGCTGTGAGGGCGGGGCGTGGGTGGGGGGGTGGGCGTGGAGTGGATGCCTGATCTGCATTCCATGTGTGTAGAGTGGGGGTGGGGGCTGCCAATATCTGCTGGAAATGTCAATGCCCCTGCTGGGGTACTGGCTCTAAAGGGGCTGGCCCCAGGACAGCTTTTTTTCTATGATCAGTTTTCTTGGATAAAAGAAGAGTAAGGCAAAGGGAAGGGACCACCAGATTGATTCCTATGCTGACCTCTCCTGTCTTTTGGGGAGAGGGTGAGGACATGAAGCTTGGGAGCAGGCCCGCCAAAAGGAGTGCTCACTGGGTTCAAGGACTCCAGAAGATCCCTAGGCTGATCAGGTTTCCCAGAGCTACTGTCCTCAGCTGTTCTTTCTTTTGTTTTGGTACTGAGGATTGAACTCAGGGATGCTTTACCACTGAGTTACATCCCCAGCCCTTTTAATTTTTTGAGGTGGTCCTGCTTCACCCTCTCCAGTTCCTAGGATTCCCGGTATGAGCCACTGTGTCTGGTCCTCAGCTATTCTCTTCCCCAGGCCTTGGAGACAATCAGAGAGAAGCTGGGCTTTAGCTCCATGTGCCACATGGAAAAGCTGCCTGGCAGGGATGGGCTAGAGACCTCTGGTCATCTCTTTGGAAACACCTTAGCTTTAGAAAGAACCCAGGCTCTCTCCCAAATCAGCCCCTTCCTACCTCTTCCGAGAATGGGCGGTGGGTAGACAGACGCAGCAAGGCAACAAAGCACGGCTCTATAGGGACCAGCAGAACCTGGGCCCCATACATGGCAGCTCAAGGGCCTCTGGGTGGAACCATAGAGTYCGTTGCAAGGGAATCAATTTCCTTTATAGCCAGGACTCCCCCTCCCCCCAGGGTGGCCTTTTGCAACCCAAGAGCCCCCACACATCATCAATCCTCTGTCACGTTAAAGGACACCGGATGTATGGGAGGGAGCCTGGCCTAGCTTCAAAGGCCTGAGGGCAGGATGGATTGTGTCCTCGGGCCTGCTGCTGTCTCTTAAAAGTCCAGGAGGGTGGGCTTAGCCCCCAGTGTGTCCATAGCCCAGTGGGAAGATGTAGGAAGAGGTTACCATGTCCAGAGCTGCTGGTGGTTGGCCCAGCTCACAATGTGGGAGATACAGGTGGAACTGGGCACAGGGCCAGGGTGCTGGCAAGGTGTCCGTAAAGGCACAGCTCTGGCCCAGGCTCTGGGGTCAGGGGAGACAGGGTACCAGGAAGCAACCCTGTGTTCCCATATCCTGTACCTTTGACCCAGCAATCTGGCCTCCCACCCTCCATACCTGGGTTCTGATAGGGCTCAGTCTAGGAGGTTTACTGGGAGTTGAGGGTCTTGTTTTGTGACAGTCATCTTTGGTTCCCTACAAAGAGCAACTGAATTTTTCTCACTCCAGTCTGGAAACTACTAGAGCAGCTGGACAGACTAGAGGCTGTCTGGAGGGGCCATTAGTAGAGGAACACAAGAAACTCCAAAGTCAACTTTACAGACCTGGCCTTACTCTGAACAAAGGGACATCATAGATTTAAGAGCACAGGAGTGTGGTGATGTCAGAGACAGAAGAGGAACGGACAACAGGATAGCCGCTTGAGTGTTAGACAAGAATCTGCTCCTGTTCTAGAAAGGCTACCTTGTTTAGGCTGGAGGGAAGACTGATTCAGGGGTGTGGGCTGTCTTCTCCTCCTTGATAAAACCTCAGGACCTGTCAGGCTGCCACACAAAGTTGAGTTGGATGTGAACTGTACAACTTCATGGAGCACCGCTTGTGATCTAGTCTACATGGACGCCACCCTGAGGTCATGCAGTGCATGACCTGCTGTTATGTATAGTGACCCAGAGAGCTCTTCCATTTCTTTTTTGGTACTGGGGAATCGAAGGCAGGGGTGTTTTACCACTGAGCTACTATCCCAGGCCTTTTTATTTATTTTTTATTTTGAGAAAGGTCTTGTTAAGCTGCTGAGGCTGGCCTTGATTGTGATCCTCCTGCTTCAGCCTTCCCAGCCAAGCTGCTGGAATTACAGCTGTGTGCCATTGTGCCCTGCGAGCCTTGCTCTGCCCTCTAATAACCCCAAAGATACAGTGAGCTAGAAGACTGAAAGTTTGTAGAAGTACTCTGACATCTCCATAGCAACTGAGTGTGATGTCATAAACAGGGGATTAGCACATTCCAATGCCCAATCAGCAGGCCTCCTTACCCTTCTTGCCTCTATGTCAGTGCTCCACAGGGCTGGGAAAAGGAAAGAGTCTGGGGCCAGTAAGGCAGGCAGTAGAAGCAGTACACACTGCAGTCATGGTGGTATGATAGGGGTGGGGGTGCTTGAGCTGGTGAGGAAAGGACCAGACATCCAAGGCCACTCTAGCTTTCCTGAGCTGTGGGCCACACTCCAGCAAATGGCTTCCCCAGTGGAATCCAGTGTGAGCTGCAGGCCCACAGAGTGCTCTGGTTGTTGGCACCCAAGATTACTTACCGGTTGAGTTGGGGTTTGCTCTTTGGAACAAATCCTTCAGGAAGCCGAGGCCTGTGATTTGGGAGTAGACCTGAGTGGAGGAAGAGCATATAAGGGATGGTCTCTGCAGCTGAGGAGGCATCCAGAAAAACCAAGTGGGAGGTGGGCACAGGGGTGGGTATAACTACCACTCTCGATACCTGCTTCTTTGCCAGGAGGGTAGATACGTAGGGCAACAGAGGGGGGGGGGAGCCTGCAGCCCTCTAGCTTAGGGGCCTTCTACCTGCTCGGTGGGCCATCTTCACACACTCCTCAATCTTGCGGTGTTCTTCCTGGCATAAGCCTGTGATTTTTCGGGGCAGCATGCCTCCATGAGGCCGGATGAACTGGCTTAGTAGCAGAACATCCTAGTGGAAACCGAACATAGGAGACATAGGTCAGATAGATTTACCTTTAATCCTGGGGAGTCATGGGGAGCCACTCCAAGGGGTTGATGTCTCTCAGGAGCCCACCTGAGATGACTCCTTCCACACAGACCTTTGTACATTAGTCAGCTACCTTCTCTAACAAAGGTTAATCTCAACTCAGTAGGATTTTCTGTACCAAATTACCAACCCCAAGAGCTCTCTTTGCCTCCATGAGACTGCATGCTGCTAGATTAGGAAAGAGACTACAAATGCTTTGAGAAGCACCCATCTTTCATGCACTTGCAGTATGTAAAATACCTGTTGGATTGTTCTCCTCAGACAGGAGAATATAGACATTCTATACAAGAAGGAAAGCCATTTCAGCCACCAGAGCCTAGAGGCCACAGGCTGAGAATATGCAGACAGCCCACTTTGCCTTCTGCCATTTCCTCTGAAGTGCTAGGCAAGAATGCGAGCTGAGGAGGGGGCCAGGTTGTTAAGTTTAATCCTACATTTTCTAACCCCGCTGTTGACCATATGGGAATGGATTCCTAGGCTTCCTTTGGGCCATCACATGTTCAACAGGCTGCTCAGGATGGGTCAAGGAAAAAAAGATAAAGAGAGCCAGAATTGAGTGAGAAGGCCCCCTTCCCCCACCTTTCACAGAATGGCTGAAAGGGTTAACAGAATACATCACTGTCCCACTAGTGGCCTGGCCTGCAGTCTTAGCGGTCATGTTCCATATACTGACTTGCTGCCCTGGCAGGCACCTCACTGTATGACTGCAGATTTACATTAATCACTGGACAGTTCCTGAGGGACCCAGGCCCCCAATTCTCTCCCCTATACTCTTCAGAATCAGCTGAAAAAGAACCTGGATTAGATTACTCCAAGGCTGATACGCTGGGCTCATCACCCCAGCCCTCCACTGTGGGCTGCCACGCAAGCTGATGGCTTTGTGCAGTTCAGGCTAACAGTGCTCCAAGTAGAAAGGGGTAAAAGGGAAAACAACTTTACCCTTTACCTCAGAGGGGATTAGATTTCTTCTGCTGGATAAACAGAGCCAAGTACATTTCCTGGAAACTGCTGGTAGGAAGAGTGACCCACAGTGGCTGGGCAGTTGTGGGGTTCACTGATCAGCAGCTGGGATTCAAAGCATAACCACATCCCCACTAACTTTCATGTTGCAGGAAGCTCATAACACCACTCTTCTGCCTGTACACTTTCTATTACTTCTGGCACCCACTGGCAGAAGGGTGTAGGGAAGGGAGAAAGAGCCTCTCCCCAAAGGTGGCCTGAAGCCAAGGCTCCCAGCCCAGGAGATTAGTTGGGTCATTCTGTTCAGATCCCATGGGCATGTGGCCTCTTCTGCTCTTATCATCTGACCAGGATCTCTGTTCTTAGTCATCCATTCCACAAAGGGGCATAGGGACAACTCACAGGTCAAACTGGCTTAGAGCCTGAATCACCTGAAATCCCAGAATAGAGTGCTTAATGTCACCAGCTCTGAAGAACAAGTATGGATTTCTCCAGGGCTGTGTCCTACACCCAGGCCCTCCCCATCTCTACAGGGTAGTAGGAACTTGGGCTCTGTACCCTGGAATTTGTATCCCAGTTCTGATACTTAGCTGGGTGATTTGAGGCAAGTTCATTAACTTCTCCATGCCTCAATTTCCTCATCTGTAAAACATGAATGGAAAAGTCCCTACTTCAAGGCATTAGTGTGAAAACTAGGTGAATTAAAACAAGCACTCACGACAGTGCCTAACGCAGGGTGTGCCCTCCCTGCCCTGTCTGCTGCTGTGGGCACTTGTTATCCCTTTCTCCAGAAGTAGCTGCTCCAGAAGAGGTGGAACAATCAGGGATCTCTGTATCTCCAATATGGGAAAAAGGAGCAGTATGTTCCCAGATCACAGTAAGAACCATAAGCCAGCCTCATTGTAAAAGAAAGAGGGCTGGGGATGTGGCTCAGTGAATATAGCACTTGCCCAGCCTATGCCAGATCATGGATATGATCCCCTGCACCACACATATATATACCTACAGAAATAAAAACAAAATGAATATGGTATAACGTATTATTATGTATGATTATGATGCACCAATTTAAAAAAGTAATAAAAGGAGGAGAGTAAACACAGACCTGATTCTATCACTGCAAGAATATAACTCCTAGTGCTCCAAAGCATAACTGATCCATGAACTCAATCCATGGCTCTCAGTCCTGGCTGCATGTTAGAATCAGAGGAAAGATTTAAAAATGCCTGGCTCACTCCCAGAGACTGATTCGGTTGGTCTGAGGTAAATGTGGGGCATCACTTAAAGTTCGTCAGGTGATTCTAAAGTCCAGCAGGGTTTATAGCCACTGGACAATGCTGCTGTTTTTTGTGGTTTTGTGAAATGCAACAGTGGCTATGGCATGGGGATAATGCTCAAGTTAACTAGGAACCCAACCTCTACAGCACGCAGGCTGAATGTCTCTGCATGCAGACTCACCTCATAGGTATACTTGTGCTTCAGGTTCCAACGGCAGATGGGACACTGGCCTGAGGGGTTGGGGGGATGCGGACTCTCCTTTGGAGTCTCTATGATACGGCCTTCAATCTAAATGGAAGAGAAAGAAGACAGCCGAGGCACAGGATCAATGTGCAGCTGCTTATCTTTGAGCAAACCCCCAATGACAGGAATTCTAGTGGAGGTTTCTCTCTGAAGGTCTGGTGGCAGCAGGCCTCCACTGCCTGCACTTAGGTGTGTTTCAGCTGGGATGGCCACAGGGATGTGGTTTGGCAGCCTACAGGGTAGTGGGAACTATCTGAAGAGAGAGGGGGAGGCTTACTCTAGTAACTGAATGCTACCTTTCCTTCCTCATCAAACAAAAACAAAACACTAGAACTTTATGCTTCCTCTCGGCCTCTGGCAAAAGGTAATACATCCACAGGGTAAAAGTTTCAAATGGCACTGGAGACCAGGGAAGACTCCCTCCCACTCCACCTCGTTCTGAGGAGACTGCACTTTCTAGCTTTACCTCACAGAGTGAAGTCTATGCAAGCAGACCGCACCAGAGGTGATTTTGCTCCCCAGGGGACCCTTGGAAACATGTGGGGACTGGGAAAGGAGTGTGACTGGCATCTAGCTGGGATGCTGCTAACCATCCCACATTGCACAGGATAGTCCTTCCAACAAAGAATTATCCAGCCCCAAATGCCATGGTTCCAAGGCTGAGAAACCCTGGGCCCTGTCCATAAAAGCAGATATCTATGTGCACTGCAGTTCTCCTCTCTTTGAAAATAAACAAAAACCACAAACAGGCAGATACATTCCTAGCTCCTCTTTGTTTTTATCATTTTAGATGCCACCTTTCAAACCCTGCTAAGACCATGTGCAAAGTGACCCCCCTGCAACTGTATTGTGTCACAGCCTTGAAGTTACTCGGTACTATAAACCAATGATCTGGGAGTCAGCTCCAATTGCAAGGGGTATTTAGAGAGCGTGGCTGACTGTGACTGTGAACTATGAGCATAAGGCTGGGGAAAATTTGAGGCTTTGGGAGGGAAGCAACACTGTCTCCTGGGGGTAGCAGGGAGACTGGCCAAAGAGAAAGGGACTGGAAGTCCTGTGTGGCTGTGCTGGGCACCTCTACCCACCTTTCTGCCATAGCAACCACTATGCCATACCTCTACCCACCTTTCTGCTATAGCAACCACAACCATAGCCAGAAATAGAAGCTGTGGGCTACAGAAAATCCACAGGTGCATAGTAGGCCTTGGGAGGGCATACTGCAATGCAAGAGAGCTCACATTTATTACCCTTCCTTATATGAATGGCTCTGTGCCAAGAATAGTTCACATAAATAATTTCATTTAGCTCTCGCCACCTAGTATGGCAGGTATCTGATCTTATTTCATAGAGGAGAAAGTATCACCTGTGGTCAGCCATGGCAGTGCCTCTCCAGGCATGGATGGGCTCTCCCGGAGCTACTTTGAGTGTCTCCGTGTTCATTCTACAAAGAGCAAATTCTTGCCTCACATGAAAAGCACTCAAAAGTCAGGTGTAGTGACACATGCCTGTAATCCCAGGCACTTGGGAGGCTGATTCAGGAGGATTACAAGTTCGAGGCCAGCTGGCAATTAAGGTACTGGGGACCAAACCCAGGGATGGTCTACCACTGAGCTACATCCCTAGCCCTATTTTATTTTTTTATATCAGGGATTGAACCCAGGGGTGCTTAACCACTGAGCCACATCCCCAGTCCTATTCATTTATTTATATTTATTTTGATACAGGATTTATTTATTTTAGTTTTGAGACCAGATCTTGCTAAGTTGCAGAAGCTGCCCTTGAATTTAGCAATCCTCCTGCCTTAGCCTCCCAAGTTGCTGGGCTTCACCCTGGCAACTTAGCAAGACTCTGTCTAAATAAAATTTATAAAAGGGCTAGGGGTATAGCTCAGTGGCAGAGTGCTTACCTATATGTGTAAGCCCTGGGTTGAAGCCCCAATACTGCAAAGAAAGAGAGAAAGAGAAGAAAAAAAATCAGATGTATCTTTCTCCTTTAGTATGGAGTTTACAGGGTAAATGTTTATTTGCCTTTAATCAAGGAACCCCAAAAAAGTGCCCTGATGGGATGGAAGTCCTCTAAAAACTCCAGACTGTTGAGGCTAATTAGTGGAAAGGTTAAGGGAGTATTCTGGGGAAGACCCAAAGCAAAAAGACTTGTCTTGGGGAGGGCGGAGCTTGGCCAGCTGCCAGAAGGGTTAAATCCTTGATTGACATACAAGTTACAGAGGCTTCTAGGAGCTCTGTGGAGTGGCTGAGGATTTTTTTGAGGCATGGAAGGCCATGTGAAAACAGCGTTGTCTTTTAAGGATTATAGGATAATCTAGGCCCCGTGACTCCCCAAGGAGGGGAGGTGAGATGTGTCCAGTGAAGGAAAAGGGAGAGTGGATAGATGAACAATCATTCCAACTTTCTTACCAACAGACAAGCCAACATGCCAACTAAGTAAGGCCAGAGTGCAAAGAATGTCACCTTTCAAATGTGCATTGCTTAAAGGAGTAGCTTAGTCATTCCAGGCAGAAAAGAAAGGGAACTGAGATCCAGGCTTCCAATTCTGGCAACTCACTCTGGCTCTCTAGGCCTGCAACACTGCCTTAGTTTCCCCTATGGGAAACTGATTTATCACCTGCCAAAGAATGTRTCAGCAAAGGCCTCTGAGACCATATCATACAAAAGATCACTTTAATCAAATAACAGATAATCTCCGCCCAGGCCCAGTGACTGTTCCTGATTAGCCACATTACAATGCAGGCTTGGAAAATCATTGACTGTAGGATTTATGGTCACCCAGGGGCTGGTCCAGGAGCCAGGAGTCCAGTGTGGGCCTGCTTCCCTCCCTCAGAGGGACAGATAGGCAGTTCCAAGCGTTAAGGAGGTTTTAAGTGGCCAGCTCGATACTTACTATAGTTGTCTTCCCTTCTTGGATCTCCACCACTGCAGAGATAAAGGGGAAAATTAGGTCAGTCATTTAATAAGGAACAGGGAGTTTCAAATAACAGCTCAAATTCTAGGCAGAAAAAAGGAGCCTCAAGTCTGCCCTCTCCTGTGGGCCCTATCTGGGTCAGAAAGCATTCAGGGTTCACTCCCCAATGGCCAAGGCTGACTGGGGGCAAGTCTTGGTCAGGCACAGTGTCATCTCTCTGGGATTAAGGGTCTCCACACTATTTTTGCCCATCTAATCTGAAAGATACATCTTGGTTATATTTAAAAACTGGCAAGATCCTGCCCTGTTGTGGTTAGCAATTATAACCTAAAAGTTGGTGTGGCAGCAGCACTGAAAAAAAAGTACTCCCCTACAAATGCCCCTTCACAAAGAGAACAGATAAAATGGTTTCCGACTTTGAAAGGCTTGCAATTTAAAATAGTACTACCCTAACAGTGTTCTAGTAGCCCTGTGGTGGCTAATCAGTGAGACAAGTTCACCCTTAAACACATCCTGAGAGTTGCATGTTAAATCCCTATGAAGACAGCCCTGTGAATTAAATCCTCTCCTCAGCTCTATTTTTCTCCATTCCTCTCCCCAGAGTGTTGCAAGAAACCTGCAGGAATAAGGAAYCTGCAGATAGGGTGCAGCAGCATTTCAAGAAGAGCACTGTCACTCCAAACTGAGAGCGACTCCCTAGGTCTGAGACAGTCAGAAGGAAATACAGGGCAAGACCATCAGTTGCACATATCTGTCAGTTACACACAATTCCTATTTCACCTAATCAGGATACAGAATGACAACTCCAACAACCACCAAAGGAAGAACCAAGCTGACAGCCCACATTCAGCACTGTTCCTGGAGAGAATCCCCTTTTCTTTGAGTTTATTTAGGAAGAGAGCAAGCCATAGCTGTTAGCAGAGGATCTGGTCCATAGCAAATTATTTTTAGGGAGCATAATACTTGCCACAGTCCCCTTCTAATTGCTAACTACTGCAAGAGAAAACTTGGGCCTGCATAGCTGCAAACTGTCTCTCAAAACACTAAAACCCTATTTAAACAGCAGCTTGGTTACCACAGTTTAGCTTTACTTAGCTCTGGCCAAAGCAAGAAATAGTACAGATTAGAAAAAGCCTAAGGTCTTTAACGTTGAGAACCCAGTGAAAGCTACAGACCACTCCTAAGGGAAATGRCCATCAGCATATATACAATTAGCTGTGGATTGCAAGAAGCTCCTGGCCAGCTGTGATCTATGTGTTAGATATCCAAATCCTAATTCTGGTTATCCCTTGTGGTAGGAATATGTAGGTGCTTTTAGTTTCTTCTTTTTGCCTATTTACATTTTCTAAAATAAACATATGTTGCTTTTGTAATAAAAAATAAAAGAAAAGGGACTAAGGAAAAAAGGCAATTCTAACCAAGCTAGAGGCCCATGGCAGCATCTGCGTGATCACTGAACTCTGTGACTGACACCTAATTGGACACAGACTGCTTGGAATTGTCCTCCATTTGTTTTCTGGGCTAGCCATTCCAAAAGACTCATTATTCCAAAACAACCAACCTGAGAGCCTCTCAATATCCAACCCAGCCACACAAAGGAGAAATGATGACTAGCAAAGCCCTGAGGCTCTCTCCAGAGAACACAGTAGTCACTAATCAATTCACAGACAAGCTAGGTTTCTCAGAGAAACTTAATTTGCGTCACCCCACACACCCCACACACGGATCTACTTGTACAGAACAGAGACCAACCCAAGAACGGGATGTGGATGAGACTCAACCTGGTCCTTAGTCTGAAAGCCAACACAGCTGCAGAGGGAAGGTCACTGCAATGTGTCAAGATACAACCAAGGGTTGGGGGAGTAAAAAGAGGGCACACATCCCCAGCCCAGTAAGGGATCCAAGTGCCCCGAAACTTTGAAAATTTGCACAAACCGAGTTGGGAGAGGGTCTGCGGGCAACCCATGAGCAACAAGGAGGGGGGAAAGTTTCTAAGCTAAGAAGCCCCACAGGAAAGAAAAGCAGACACATTCTAGTACCACTGGAGTCAGCACAAGAACAATGCCCTGAAACACAGAGGATAAACATGTGGTTCCCTTCGAGGTGCAGGCACTTGGTCCTAACCATGAGGTAAACAACTCTAACAAAACACACATCACTCTCGGCCAAGACCCAAACCCTGAAGTCATCCCACTGGCCCCTGGAAAAGAGATCAAAGCCCATGGCAAGCTCCACTATTCACAAGCTCTCCACACAGCAACTCTGAGCCAGTGAGTCCTGTTACTAGGAGTCAGTGGGTAAAACAATAGGCAGATGCTTATCTAAGGGAGACAATTTGTCAAACCAGAGGAATGACCTGAGAACTCACAAGAGACAGAGACTGATCAGGGTGGTGTCTTAGTGCAGGGGGAGAGGGCCCAGCTGGAGCCTGGACAGGACCTCAATAGATTTTAAGCCTCTGGAAAGAGGAGATAGGCATCAAAATAGTATTGATTTTCAGTGTGCATAGCAAAACATGTTAAAACCAAACAAACTGAGATCCATTTTGTCCCCAGCCTCCTCTCCATTCAAGAGAAGTGGGGTGGCTAAGAAAAGCTGAACTAAGAGATTTAGGCACTAACAGAAAACTTGTTTGGGAAAAGATGAAATCACCCTTGTGTTCAGAGATATGGCAGTATCAAGTAAACTAAGGAAAAAGATGAAGCAGTTGTCTAAACTAGAATTAAGGGCCAAATCCTTCAAAATAGGCATTTCTCATAATCTGTACCAAATGAGGCAACACATTTGCTAATAAGCACCCATGGAGTGTACAGCCTCACTCTACATATTGTGGAGAGCTGGGATTGAAAAGGCACAATCTTTGCCCTAGTGGAAGAAAGGGCCAAATCCTTCAAAATAGGCATTTCTCATAATCTGTACCAAATGAGGCAACACATTTGCTAAGCACCCATGGGGTGTACAGCCTCACTCTACATATTGTGGAGAGCTGGGATTGAAAAGGCACAATCTTTGCCCTAGTGGAAGAAAGGGAACTAATCCAAGTATGAGAATTTTACCATAAGAAAGCTCATGCTCTTAAAGAGGTTCTTTGAGTTCTTCAGTAAACTCTCCTACGATAGAGTCCAAGATAATTAAATTATAATAGTCTGGAGCAAAACAGCAATGTGGTGAGACTGTGAGGAACACAAAAGACCTTGATGGCCACATAAACACAAATGCAGTGATCTGCAGCTGTAATAAAGACCCAACTGCTTAGTAAAGAAGGAAGTGAGGACAGATAAATGATGGGTAGTATTGCAGTGAGGTCAAAGAAACCAAGAGCTCCAAGATCTGTGGGAATCAAGTCCTAAGCAGAGTATGAAGGAATGGAACAACTGAGGGCCAGAAGGTAGCCTTACCAATGTTGTTTAGCGTTAGGAAGCAGAGAACATTTTTGGGATGTGTGCCTGCACTTCTGGCCAACTGACTGCTTTTCTCAAATAACTTCTTGCATCAAGGTCTGCTTTCTTTAGTTCATCTTTAATTCAACCATTAAAATTTCCTGGTTCTTTCTTTGAATCTCCCCTTCTTTTCCCTTGGACCTCTCAGGGAATTTCCACGCCCTACACTTCTGAATGAGGAGAATTACTGCTGCATAGAAATCTCTTTCCACTAGCAGGTCACTTTGGACTATGTCCCTTGAGTTCTTTTGTTTTGTTTGTTTGTGGTACTGGGGATTTAACCTAGCTCTACATCTGAGCTATACCTCTAGCCCCACCCAGCCTTTAGTACCAGATTGAACCCAGGCACTTAACCACTGAGCTACATCTTCAACCCTTTTTATTTTGAGACAGGGTCTCAGTAAGTTGCTGAGGCTGGCTTTGAACTTAGTGATCCTCCTGCTTCAGGGGCTCCCCCCCATCCCCCAGCTGCTGGGATTAGAGGTGTATACTATCATGCCCAGCTTCCTATTTTATTTTTGAGACAGGGTCTTGCTAAATTGCTGAGGCTGGACTTGAACTCGTGGTCCTCTTGTCTTAACCTCCAGAATTGCTAGGATTACAGGTGTGTGCCATTCCACCTGACTGTCCCTTGAATTTATTTCAAAGTCCTCAACTTGMATACTCTTTTCTCCTGGCTTTCAGCTCATTAAACTGTCCACCCTGCCAGGCACATCTGAAATGACAAGTCCTCTAAAAGCTCTCTTAACTAAATGAAGAAATGATGCAAATTCTCTTTGGCCTTTCCCCATTTCAATAAGCTCTGCTGAAAGCGTATTGAATCATGTATAGATCGTGGTTGTTAATTCATACAATTATGCATTTGTTTTCTTGTTTTTAAATACATTTCCTTAATGAGGGATCTAAGAGTGACAAAGCAGGACAAAGATCTAACAAAATCTTTGCTAAATCTGGCAGTACCAACCATAAAGGCATTAAACAGTCTTTAGCAAGTTAACTGTTAAGAACTTTCAGGGGAGGAGGGAACAACAGGAAAGCTATGCCATAGAGTACCAAGGTAATGTTACTGATGGAGAGAGAAGACTATTGGCTTAACTTCCACCTCTCCCACTTATAGCTCATATTGGGCAAGCTACTGAACTCCTTAGGACCATATTTCCTCAGCTGTTAAAATAAGGACAGTTAATAGCCACCTTTAAGAACCGTTAAAAAGAATGAATAAACATATGTGGAAAATCAGGCACAGTATAGTGCAGCAAGAACTTAGTAAATCATAATTTCTATTTTTGTCCCTTTTCAGTCTTGCTCCTTCTATAATAATTGAATCAATCTCTCTCTGTTGGTTTTATAAGTCCCTCTTGCCAGACTTTAGATCAGATTTTCTCAGAAACTGCAGGATTGGCATTTTAGGCCAGACAGTTCTTTGTTATAGGGAGCTGACATGTGCACTGTAGGATGTTTATTAGCATCCCTGGCTTATACCCCATGCTTTACAAATAACAGATAGAGCCATTTCCAGAAAACAAAAACTTGAAAGGTTCTGGACACAGATGATTCCCAAGAATATAGAATATGATAGTGCCTTCATGGAAGATCACATCAATTCAATCTAATACTTAGATTTAGGTTTACCAATGATTAACAGACAGAACAGCTACTAATCCAAGTATTTATGGAGAAGACTTTAGAGAGCCATTTGAATATACAGTCCATCATTTCCCAAACCCTCCAACTAAAATAATTCCCTAAGCCTAACCTAAAACATTCCTATCTTTTTTTTTTTTTTTTTTTTTAATAAAGTTAGTTTCTTTTTTTTAATATTTATTTATTTTTTTTAGTTATTGGCGGACACAACATCTTTGTTTGTATGTGGTGCTGAGGATCGAACCCGGGCCGCACGCATGCCAGGTGAGCACGCTACCGCTTGAGCCACATCCCCAGCCCCAAACATTCCTATCTTTAAAAATCCAACAAAGAAGACCTGGTGCAGTGGAGCATACCTTTAATCCTAGGACCCTGGAAGGCTAAGGCAGGAGGGTCCCAAGTTCAAGGCTAGCCTGGGCACCTTAGCAAGGCCCTGTCTCAAAATAAAAGGGCTGGAGATGTAGCTCAGTGGTAAAAGTGCCCCTGCATTTGATCCCCCATACTGTAAAATGAAGCAAAACCAAACAAATAGCAACAAACAAAAACCCAACGAGTCGGGGCTGGGGATGTGGCTCAAGTGGTAGCGAGCTCTCCTGGCGCGCGTGCGGCCCGGGTTCGATCCTCAGCACCACATACCAACAAAGATGTTGTGTCCGCCGAGAACTAAAAAATAAATAAAAAAAAAAAAAACAAAAAAAAAAAACCAACGAGCAAAATAAAAAACTATCCCTCTTTCAACTTTTTTCTGAAAAAAAGGCAAAGAACTGTTTCAACTTTGAATTTCATAAAGGATATGCAATTTGCAGCCATTAGAGTTTGACACTTGGTAGACAACCTAATAAATGTATGAATATAGGCTTAATTATGCAGCATGGAAACAGATGAAACACCTTATCCAAGTTCTTTCTGTCATCAGCATAATCTCTTTGGTGTCTTTCTTTAAATTATTCTTGCATTATGCAGGAAGTATCTGGACTTTTTTCCCTCCTAGTAATTGTTCCATCTTCCCATCATAGTTAAATTCTTCAAGCATACCTGCTATTACCATTTCTTATTGAATACCTTTTTGATTTCTTCAAACTTGCCACTCTACTGAAACTTTTTGAAATCTAAGAGAGAACTCTTCCAAGACAAGTCCAAAGATTCCTTCGTTAAACTCTTCTTTTTCTCTCTCTGACAACAATGATCATTCTTTTCACTGGATACTTCTCAGCTTTTAATGATATACTGGTTGGCCAATACTATGACAGAATCCTAAACAAAACAAAACTATATCACTTATTTTTCACATCACTCATTCTTTCCTGCTTCCAACAGTACACAAAGGAAGGCCACGTCCTGAAAGACCTTTTCACTCTTTGCCAGATTCCATCCTTTTATAAGCCTGTTCAAGAAACATTCCCTTTCTGAAAATTTCCAACCGGGTTTGCTGTTTCCGGTAACTGAATCTCCCAGTACTTTTTGTCATGTAAATGGCTAACTTGAATTTACTGAAGTGCACACATATCATCTCATTAGAACCTAAGCTTCTCAGGAAAAGAGCTGTGTTTTCTTTCTTCAGAATCCCTTCACAGCTTGAAGCACAGCACTTGTCCTTCAGTAACCTCTCAAGTTGATACTAGGCTCCTTTCCCAGACAATATTAACGAAAAACGGAACCACCCTGAGGCATTTGCCTGTCTCAGCTGTTCAATGGCCTTTCCACCTCGGCCTGCACCTCTCGGGGAGACTACCGGCCCGGGAGTGAGGGGAAGCCACCTTCAGATCACAGCATTTTCTCGAGACAAATTGATGTTCCTTCTTCATGGTTCAGGGACGTTTTAATGAAGGAGATGGCGATGCAATCTCTTCCTGAAAACTTTTCTGAACCCCGCGACATGTTTCTATTTCTGCTAAGTAACTAGGCCTTTCTCTCTGCCCTCCTCCGTTTTCTGAGAACACTTACAAGACACACAAATTCAAACACCATCACCAAGGTCGGAAAAAGGTTTTAAGCACCCTGTGAGGTCAGCACCTCCGCCGATGTTTCAGAGGGGCGCACCACGGCGGGCGGAAGTACTTTCTGTAGCTTTTCTCAATCTCGGACGCTCAGGGACTTAGGACTCACCTTCCCTGAATCCCCGAGCTGGGACCCGAGGGCAGCTGGTCGTGACTGGGACCGCCAGGAGCCCTCGGAGCAGCCGCCCACAGCCGGATACCAGCGCCATGAAGGACGCCATCTTGAAAGCTAAGCCTGACCTCTGTGCACTTCCGCTTCCGGAACGGCGCGTGCGCAGCCGGTAGTTCGGCAGGACCTCTGGCGCCGGACCTTTCGCTCTTTTACTCCTGTTATTATTTTATGTATTTGCTTATTTTAGTACCATGGATTGACCCCCCCAGGGGCGCTTAACCACTGAGACTCATATCCAGCTCTTTTTTATTTTTTAAGATACAGTCTCACTGGCTTGCTTAGGGCCTCGCTAAGTTGTTGAGGCTGGCTTTGAACTTGAGATCCTCCGGCCTTAACCTCCCCCTCCGCTGGGATTCCACGAGTGTGCCACCGCTCCTGGCTTTTACTCCTTTTATTGCCAGGTCTCTTACCCCGTGGGCATTTGCGTTAAGGAGAGAAGCCATAGTGTCAAATAAGATCTTCTAGGTCCTTTGTTCCAGTCCCTAGTCTTTAAAATTGCTTTAGTTCCCTGGAGCGCTTGCCTGACGTGTGTGAGACCCTGGGTTCCATCCTCAGCACCGTATATAAATAAATAAAACAAAAAGACCCATTGACAACTAAAAAAAACCCTACCCCTAACATATTAGCTGTGGGGTTTTCAGTTTCTGTGACTGGGGCTCATCTGTACAGGAGAGGTTGAATGGTTGGGGCTTCTGGCTTTGGAGTATCAGGTATTAGATCTGGGATAGAACTAACACTTCCTTCTTCCCGACACCGCCTCTCCCCCAACACACACACTGATCTTGAATTCTTGCTCACTTAGACTTCTCTCCAGACTCAAGGCCTTTGAACAAGTTATCCCCTCTGCCTGCTCTTTAACAAAGTGGCAAACTCCTACTTATTCCTTAGAGCCCACCTCAAATTCCTTTCTACAGTGAAGCCTTCCTTCACCATCCTGACTCTGGTTCTCAGCACCAGATAAAGGTTCCATCTTAGTTCTTGACACAGTTGCAGTTTTACATTTGTTCGTATAACATATGTCTCCCCACCAGACTGTAAATTCCATTAAGGCAAGAATAGTGGATTTTTTTGTTGTTGTTGTTGACTTTCATATCTCCAGCATTTAGTTCAGTTCCTGACTTATAATAAGAGTGTAATATATACTTGTTGAAAGAACAAGTAAAATCAATATTGTAGGATTGTTGTGAACATTAAATGAGATAAAACAAATGTTCAATAAGCATAAGTTAACAGGGCAATTAATTGAGGTAACTCTTTTCCTGTTTGACCGACTTGCTTTATAAGGAAGCTTATGGTACCCAGAAAGAAAGTCCAACTGACTAATTTCCTCTCTTTTACATTTGCAGGATATGTGGGATGTTCCCCTGGAGCTATATAAGAAAGGGAAGATCATTTGCCACTCAATTATTCCACTTGGTGGTAAGGACCCCCCCCCTTCCAGAATAAACCTAAAGGGGGAATTTCTAGTTATCTTATTCTGATTCAAAGATGAGAAAAACCAAGCTTATTAAGTGGCACAGCATGTTCCTTGATGAGGGACAGAGAAGGGAGCCCACTGTCTAGTTGGGACTGCCACCTCGGTGGGATTGAGGATGCAGAACAATTGTTGCATGGGGAACTTGAGTAGTATCATCAAAGACAGGGAGAACAGGAGAATGTGGCATTGTATACCAAAAACAAAACAAAACAAAAAACACCACAATTAGGGGAATCAGGGGAAACTTGAAAGAAATGTCAATCAAAGTAGGAGAAACTGACATCTGGGTTAGGAATGGAACAGAAGGTCTTGGTGGGATGTAGGTCTAGGTTTCCCTGCCAAGATAGGAAAGCTTTGACCCTCCCTATAGCTTACACTTTTCTTTTATAAAGATGACCTTTAATCACACCCACTGTTAGTACCACATTCCCTGTTTCTTTAAGCATCCTCAACTACTTCTGGGGACCCAGCAGAGGCTTTGGCAGTAACAAAGCCTCACCCAGCACTTGCTTTGGACATAATGAGCTAAGGCATTCAGGTACCCACCTTTGCTCATTAATTTATCATAATCAAATTTTATTTTGAAAAACCACTATTTTCTACAATGAAGTAATGTGATCATTGTAGGAAAAGGAAGAAATGGATGAAATAAAAAGAAAATAAATGCCATCCATAATCCAGAGAGAAGTGTTAAATATTTAGCAAAATAAAATAATACTGTGCATATTCTTTGTTTTGTAATATCTTGTTTTTTAAATACATTTATTATTAGTCTCTACATGAAAAACCAATTCTGTGAGGGACCAGATTTAACTCAAGAGATTACCCTTACACACACACACACACACACACACACACACAGACCTTTTAATGAAAGTATTAATTATACGCAAAGTACACAAATCAGCAGTGTACAGCTTGAGGAGTTTTCACAAACAGAACATACTATCTATGCCAACAAGTGAACATAACCAGCACTTTATAACACCAACTTGTGTCCCCTTCCAGACACTACTACTTCCAAGGATGATCATTATCTCAACTTTTAGCACCAGAAATATTCTGCTGTGAATATACCACATTAAAAAAAAAACCCTGTCTTCTGTTGATCCTTTCCATTTGAGACTATTGAAAATAGTGCTGGTGATGGAGTATTATGCAGCACTAAAAAATGACAAAATCATAGAATTTGCAGGGAAATGGATGGCATTAGAACAGATTATGCTAAGCGAAGCTAGCCAATCCTTAAAAAACAAATGCCAAATGTCTTCTTTGATATAAAGARAGCAACTAAGAACAGAACAGGGAGGAAGAGCATGAGGAAAAGATTAACACTAAACAGAGACGAGTCGGGGGAGAGAAAGGGAGAGAGAAGGRAAAGCATATGGAAATGGTAGGAGACCCTCAATGTTACACAAAATTACATATAAGAGGTTGTGAGGGGAAAGGGGGGGGAAACAAGGGAGAGAATTGAACAACAGCAGATGAGGTAGAGAGGGAAGATGGGAGGGGAGGGGAGGGGGGATAGTAGGGGATAGGAAAGGTAGCAGAATACAACAGTCACTAATATGCCATTATGTAAAAACGTGAGTGTGTAACCGATGTGATACTGCAATTTGTATTTGGGGTAAAAATGGGAGTTCAAAACCCAATTGAGTCAAATGTATGAAAGATGATATATCATGAGCTTTGTAATGTTTGAACAACTAATAAAAAAAAAAGAAAATAGTGCTGGGACAAAACCTGAATTTTGGAAAAAAATAAACCTTTTTCAGGGATGTATCTAGCCGCGGAGTTGTTAGGCTATCAGGTATGTATATATTAGCTTAGCCTTAGTAGATCCTGACAGTGATTGTACCAGTTTACTCTTTCACCAGTTATGTATAAGAGTTACAGGTGATCCACAGCCCTATTCGTATTTGGTATTTTTGTACTTTTTCTCTTGTTGTTCTGGTTGATGTGTAGTAGTGTCTCATTGTGTATTTATTTTACATTTCTCTGATACCTAATGAAGATAACTTTTCATATGTTTATAGGCCATTTAGATATCTTCTTTTGTAAAATATATGTTCAAGACTTTGTTCTATTTTATTTGGGGTTGCTTATTTCTTTCTTTTTGATTTGTAGTTCTTTATATATTCTAGATGCCTAGATGTATTTATATAGTAAATGTCATATAACTTTTTGTAGGTTGTTTTTTGTTTCCATTTAGTTTGTGGTTTTGGTGAGTAGTAATGTTTCATTTTTAACATAGTGTAGCTCATTGGAGTTTTTCTTTATTGTTTGTCCTTTTCATTTATTATTAATTGTTTTTCTCTTTGAAGTCACAAAGATGTTCTAGTATGTTTTCTCTCCAAAATTTTATTTTTTACCTTTCACATTTAGAATTTAAATTCATCTGGGATTGTTTTGTTACAAGACCTGAGATTGCAATTAAGATTAATTTTTCCCATAGCAATATCCAACTGACCCAGCACCATTAAAAAAAAAATCACACTTTTGGGGCTGGGGTTGTGGCTCCGTGGTAGAGTGCTTGCCTGGCATATGTGAGGCACTGGGTTCAATTCTCAGYGTCACATACCTCAGTTGGGTATGCTATGGGCTTTTTTTTTTTTTTTTGTACTGTTATGCTGTGAAATAAAAGGGGGTGAGGGCTCTTGTCTGGGGCTGCAAAATGGTAGCTGCCACCCAAAGGAGAGGTCTTTTCATGATCCGGGGTTTCTGGGGCTGCTGGCAGAGCTACTGTAACACATGGAGAGCTGTTTCTAGCTGCAGTGGCAATCCTGCAGAGCGGCAAGGACACTGTATGCTGGACCTTACCCCATTCCCTCTTCCAAGGAGCCCAGTACCTAGCTTCTGCCCTGCTTTGTTCCTCACGCCTTGTTCTGGAGTCTTGTCTCCTATTTCTGGAGATAATGTAATCGGAACTAAATCTTCCCAAGGAAGATGTTCAGGGAACGCCCCTAGGAGATGAACCCAGATAGATTCATGCCAATAAAAATTTCAACGTGCAGCATAAATGATCTGGTCTGGTGCCTTGCTGCCCACCAACAGGACAGCAGGCTCAGGCCAGAGCAGAGGCAAGAGTCAGGACACCATGGGTGGGTCAGCCAGTCTGACTTCAGGGAAGTTCTGAGCCCAGCTGCGGATGGATGTGCTCTTCCAGCCTCCTTCCCACCTCGCCCAGGAAGAGAGATCTGAGCCAAGAGCCACATGGTTGTGACCTGTGAAAGAGTAGAGGCAATGAAAAGTATGGGAAGGTGGAGAGCACTGATCTGGTAGAGAGCTTGGTGGGAGGGACAAGGAAAACCAGAGGAAGGGACTGGCAGACGGGAGTGACAGTCATGTTTGCTTTCTCTTAATTAATGTGGTTTCCTTACAAACCCCCTGCTGATTCCCAGCTGGTTCACTCAACCATAACAACACGTGGCCTGCCCTGCCCAGGCCAGGAACTGAGGCTGGACGCCTCCCAAGAAGGGTCTGGTTTCATCTGCAGCGGCTAGCCCTGCTCCCCCTTACTGGCTTTATGCAGATGAGGGAAGGGACAGCGCCTCAAGCTGTGGAGACAGCTGGGCTGGAGAAAAGGCCAGGGCCTGG